ACAGCAGGGTTATTCCAGCTCTCACACCTGATTTATCCCCTTCCAGCCAAGCCCAGGGAGTCACTATGATGGGGAACTTTCTGCACCCCCTGACTCAGACCAACTCTGCTTTGAATTAAAGCATCTATTTTCAACCACGTCCCCACGGTCTGCTGGATTCTATTACCAGCACTTTTAAGAGCATTGAGCGTTTCAGACCAGCTTTTCCCGCTTTTGTTGGCTTTGGCAAGGGAGGAGGCAGAGAATGGTGCCTGCCAGGACCCTCAGAAGGCAGAGCTCCATCCCTCCTGCCAGGAGTGGACATCGCTGCTTGGAGGCAGCAACACAGATGAAAGCTATCAAGATTAGAATGAGGAGGGGGACATCTGAGCCCTCCAGGCTCTTTTACCCCTTTCCCCAGGGCCACAGGCATGTGAGGGGGCTCCTGCAATCCACTGACAACAAAATATACCTCAAAAGCTGAATTACACCTCCCCTCCTCCAGGGAACCAGCTCAGGGTGCATCAGCTGAAGCACCCCAAGCCTTTGGTTAGTGAGTTGTTATAGCCACAACCTTCACTTTCCTTACCCCAGGCCTGCAGGATGTGTCAGCTCTCTCACCCAGAGGGGTTATCAAGGGTTATTACATCAGCCCAAACCCCAAACCTGCAATGCAGAAAAAAAGACACAAGCACGCAAAGCCACTTGTTCTCCCAAGGCCAAGAGCCAGGTAACTGCCTGCAAATGGATTTTAATGTCTGTGTTCCCTGTAGACATAACTCCAGGACAGCAACAGAAGTTCCAGGATGTTTCTTATTCCAGGAAACTCTTTGTTTCAGCCACAACCAAGCGTTCCATATAATTTAATAACTGTTGCATCGATTTCTCCTAAATCACCACGCCTCTGTGCTCTGCAGCACTTCTACAAATTAATACTTTTTTAAGAGCAGGTTAATTTCTCCTCCTGCTTTAACAGGGAAGATTAACAGCAGATTGCAAGGGGCTGGTGGTGAGGAGAGGGCTGGTTTATGATTAACATGAGTGGTCAGGAGCCCCCATCCAGCAAAGCAGATCAAACAAGGCTGTAACTGCATCTCTGCAGTATTACTGAAGGTGACTCTGCCTGGGAGCAGGCAATTCCTCCTGGCCCACAGGATAAATCCATCTGGCCTGACCTCCTCCCTCCAGCCCAAGCACAACCCACGTTTTAAGAAGGGGACCAGAGTTCCTCCCAAAGCATTTACACCCAGAGCTGCTCCACTGAGGGGAGAAGGAAAATCTACAGAGTCCCCTGCACACCCACCACATCCCCAGCTCCACCTTCCCCTAGAGCTGCTCCCCCTCCCAGGTTTATTTCTCAGGGCACATGAAGTCAGCAGAGGCTCCTGTGTGTACAGCAAAGTCCTGTTCCAGACCCACAAGTCGCACAAATTTAGGCAGAGGGAACACAGACTGTCAGCAAAGGCCATCAGAGATAACAAAGAGCTCAGAGGAATTAGGCAGAGTCTGTGTTTTGATTAATTCTAGACTGAGCAGGGCAGTGAAGTAAAGAAAAATCTGTGGTGGCCAAGACCAGCAGGTATTACATGGATGCTCTCCTAGAGCAGGGTGCTTTGACTCTGTAAGGGTCTGGGGACAGACACAGCTCACAGGGACAACACAGGCCAGAGGATAAGTTAAACCCTCCTGGATTCAATGGTTAATTATGGCAATTAACACCATCAGTGTCACAAGGCAGCACCACCACAGCGCCTTTGCAGAACTGCTGCCCGTGAGTGCCAGATCCCAACTCAGCAGCACCTGGGACTGCAGGAATAACCAGCAGGAAGGGAGGGAAGCTATAGAAACCAAACCCTGCTTCTCTCAGGACTGTGATTTGTGAGGACACATGGGCAGCCCGTAGACTTTTCCATAAGGAGATGGCACCATGTGGTTAGGATGAGACTTTGGCTGAAGACAACATTTCCCAAGGCCAGAAATGCTGTCAGACCCAACGTGGCCCCTCAGAACTATTTTCTGAACCTCCACTCAAGCCACTTGTTTATATAAAAAATGCCAACAGATCAGCAAGGATGAATCACCCAGGAGCAAGCCAGAACCCTATTGTGGAGGAAACAAGTTCAAGTTCACATCGGGCTGTTCTGGCCATGCAGCAAAGCACCTTCCCTGCTCACCAAGGTGAATGGCCCAACTACAGAGAAACTCCCAGAGCCATTAGGAAATGTGGCAATTCCCACTCTCAGTATCCCCAGGTCAGCAAAGCCTTTGCACTTTGCAGGACCAGAATTCCCAAAACAAAACGTGGAAGGATAATGAGAGGAAATGCCAATGCCAGAGGAAAAAGCACCATAATTCCCACTCTCCAAACTCTACAGCATATGGATAATCACTGCCACCAACAGAAAGGATTTGCTACACAAATGCCTCAATCATTTGCTCTTTAGACCTTTCAAATCCTTCTTCATTATTCCTCAAAATTCTGGATTCTGCTACAGGAGCGAAACCAAGAGAACAGCCTGTGTCCATGTGTGGAGGCAGCAGAAGTCCTCACACAAGCACCTGACCCATTTTGCCTGCCCAAGAACCACAGATTGGACCAGGAATCTCTTACCAGCACCTGCAGCAGACTCCTCGTGTTGCCCCTTGGGCTCCTCTCTGTCTGGCACAGTTGGAGCAGCCCTTGCCACTCCTACCATGGCAGCAGGAAAGTTTGGAAGAGACAGGAACTTTCCTGTACAGCCACCTGGGAAGATGGAACCACTCAGCTGCTCCCACCCCTCCTGGATGGCATGTTTCAGCTTCCCAAGGCAAATGTTAATATTTAACAGTTTGGTGTCTGGGACAATGAGAAATCAGTAAAGTGGAAAACATTGCTGAAGAAAGGGCTGGAAAAGGTTCAGGAAACTCCCAGATTGCTCCAGACTGATGCCACTGTCTTCAGTTGGAGACCTGCTCCTCCACCTCTGACAGCTGTGAGCAGATCTGCAGCTTTGGGTGAGCAGTGCCTGACAGCTCAGAGACCCCTGGGGTTTATCCGTGGCTTCCATGTCAGTGCTTAGTGCATCCTACTCCGAGTGAGCACCAGGAGAGACCATGCAGGGTGCTCAAAAGTCCAAAGCTGAGTGGTCAAGAATGCTGGCCTGGCTCCATGCTGCAGAATGAGCTGTCAAGAGGATGACTGGAGCCTGAAATTCCTCTCCCAGAGACAGCCCAACAGGTGAAATAACTGACCACTGTCCCTTGGCACCAGGCAACTCCAGACACACCCTAGCCCTCAGAGTTACCAGCTCCAGCAGGGAACTTCAGCTTGGAAAACAGAGCTCCAACAAAGCTTCAGCACACACAGGGCGACACATCACTACCCTGTTACCTGTGGAATCTCCAGGGACCAGAGCATGGGCTCACAGACAAACCATGGAACAGGACAGGAGAGCACCACAAAGCTGCTCTGCTCCTCGTGGGAGCACGTAGCACTACCTGGTAATAAAATACCCCAGTGAAGGAACTGGTTTGTCTGTGTTAGGTTGAGAGGACACTTTGCTGTGTCCATACTGGGGGCAGAACACCTGCAGGCACACTGCAATAGGTGCAGTCTCACTACAGAAAGAAAGAGTCCAAACAAAAGCCCATTTGCCTAAAATCAACCTCGCTCCCATCCATGGCTTCCTCTCCCAAAGAATGAGAGCAGCACAAGAATTATTCCTTGCTCTGGGAATCATTTGAGGTCATTCATGCTTGCTTTGTCTCAGAGCTTCCTGTTCTTTTCTCACCCAGCCAACACAAAGCATCTCCTTTGACAGAGAACCTCCAAAAATCTGCTCCTCCGAGTTGGCTGAGATCAATTTCTGTGACACAGCAGGGAAGGAAGCTGACTGACCACCAACATACTAGAAAATACATAAGTTAAAGAAATAATTAAGCCCTTTTCCCGTTGAACCCATCAGCCAAAACCCCACCAGACCTGGAGGTGAGACCTATGGCAGGGACCCCTCTCCCCTTCCCACCACAGCCCGGTAAATGGGCTCACAAGTTGATGAGATCACCTTTCTGCCTTGTTCCTCCCACAATTAATTCTGCAGGAAGCAGAGATCAATATTCCTGTGATTCAATTATTTATCTGGTTTAATCCAGGCAGAAAACCCTGACCAGCAGCTGCCCAGGTGGGCACAGGGAGCTGGATGGGGGGACCACACCAGTGGCCACCCCAAACAGAACAAATCTCCAGCACCTGCACATTGAAACCTGCAGAAATCAGAGCCTTGAGGAGGGATAAAACCACTCTTTAGCCACGCCAAGAAACCAAAAACACAACGAGGGGGTAAGAATTCACACATACACCAGCAGACACCAATGGCTGTATTAATTCCTAGAAAGGATATAGCCTGTTCCTTCTTTATTCCAAAGTCAGCTCTCTCATATCAACTACCTGCAATTATTACTGACTAATCTTACTGTAAGATGTTGCCAAAAGCCAGTGCAACGTTCCAAAACCTCCATGGAAAGAGCTCCTTCCCACCCAGAGAGATCCCCAAGGTGAGGCAGGTCTGGGTTCCCAGAAACGCCGTGAGACTCGGGGTCACTGCTCATTTCTCCCACACTTCAGTTCTACAAAAACTGACCTGGCTCCACTCTTGGAATGCTGGGCACTAAGTTGATGTAATTCCCTAAATATTCACTATTCAGGAATCCACCACTTGTAACCAGTGAGGAAGAACATGCAGCACATGAGCATTTTGGGAGGGAAATAGCCAAAGAGTCTGAAGCGTGTTCAGTTCACACTCTGGGACCCTCCTGCAGCCAGGACCCTCCCAGCACCACCAGGGTTTATGCCAAACACCCCTTTAAAAGACAAAAGTGTTTTACCACAGAGAAGCTCCTACCAAACCACAGACACATTTCAAATTCCTGGTGTCCTTATTGCCCATCTCTTCATTTTCCCTAAGTAAGGCAACACTATAAAGCAATTCCCAGCACTCCAAAGCCCCATTTTGCCCCAAAGACATCAGGAACTCTGCACTTACCTGAGGAAAACCCCCATTTTTTGTTAAGAAGTCAGTGGAGTCCACAGCTGCATAGTTTGTGTCTAAGAAATGTGGTCTGCTGATGGAATCCATATAAAAATCCTGAGGGGGGCTAAAATATTGCCTGTAAGGAAATGGGAAAAGCAGTTACTCCCTGTCAGTCCCCAGCACTTCTCAGGTCACTTCAGCCTCTGACAGCAGTGAAGCTGAAACTTCAGGATGTCACATACAGAGAGGGATATTATTGGATATTATCCAGAAGAGAGATAGCAAAATAATACCTCTACCAGTTCTATCCCACTTCCCAAACTCAGCAGTTTAAGAACTTACAGCAGTTTAAGAACTTAGAGCAGTTTAAGAACACTGAATTAAGAATATAATTCTTGGCAATTTGGGTAGACCAGGAAGGACTTCATAGATAACAATGGCCTGCAGTACCCAATATTTCAGCCCTGATGACAAACCAGAATGAAGCCCTGGGACGTCCCAGCACGATGGGTGTGGTGGACCTGCCAGTCACACTACGTAAGGACATGAGCTGCAGGGAAACATCACACCTGAATGCCAGTTTAGGCCACAAACCCCCAAAACAGCCCCACAAATCAGCTCTGACAGGGAGCTGATTAACCCACCTGGATAGGGAGTTCATCACTCACAGACCTCAAAGGCAGGTCAGAATGGAGGAGTTGGTGACTGGGAAACACAGACAGAGCTGTTACCCAGAGAGAGGAACTAGGGATGTGACTGCTGTGAGTTCAAAAGCAAGATCTGTGCTCAGCTAACAAGGGAACAAAGCAAAGATCCCTGCTCCACCTGGGCAGGGCCATGCCAGCTTCCTCCTGCTCCCTGCACCCAGCATCCGTTTCCTCCAGGCAGGCAGGGGCAAAAACTGCACGAGAGCAGCCAATTTCCTTCCTCCTGCCCAGGAGCAACCCCTGGCCTCTGCTCCACGCCACCTCCTGGTTTGCACAAGCCTTTTCCCTCTCCTGCAGGAGCAAAGAATTTGCTTCGTAATCCTTCCCGTAAGGGGCCGTGCTCCTGCTTGGGCGATTGCCACGACACCCTCGGCGCTGGAGCCACGGGACATCCATCCTGGCTGGATGGTTTCCTCTTGTGGGGAGCTGGACCTTCCCCCTGCTGCCCAAAGAACACGCGGCCAGAAACTTGAACAGGGCGCTGGGAGAGGGAGAAAGAGAGTTTGAGAAGAGAACTCCTGCCCAGGAGCTGGGAATGCCAAGCTGCCAAAGGATTATTAAGCAATTAAGGTGCCATGTGTGGCCGGCAGCTTGTTACTACACTCGGTGAACATTTACATGTGGATTAATGTGCAAACACAGTTATCTCTTTTGATAAATACATTTTTCCTGCTCGCTTCCCATCGCTAAAGACAAAACCCTGAAAAACTAACAGCTCCTTCCTCCTTTCCTTTTTTTTTTTTCTTTTCTGTGCTGCCCGAGACCCTGTGTGAACACAACCTGCACACCCAAGCTCCCACAGTCCATCCCTGATTGTTGGCTCTTCGTAATCCATCCAAGGAATTAAAATCTGGGCATAAATTCTGGGAATAAATATATTGCCACACAGGAAAAGGCTGGTTTAAAAGGCTTTCAAGCCAAGACTGCTGTGGTCTCGCCGTCTCTCACACAAGGACACAGCTTGGCCAGCATCAAGGAACTAATCAAGGAATAGGAAAACTATTTTTACTGGAAAAGTGAACACCCGCTCCTGTTCCCCGGCACTTTGTGGCCTGGACAAGGGTCAGTCAAGGTAATGAGAAAGAGAGCAAGAGAGCTCCAACCTCTCTGGCCTGCTGTGGAATGACCAGCTCTGCTTGGTGTTTTGTTACCCTTAATCTTGGTCTTCCAATCTGCCCATGTGAGATACACTTGGCTCCTGCAGTTTGCAGGGAGAGCAGCTCCAGGCACTGCTCCGAGATCCTCCTTGGAAAGCCCCAAAGTCCCTTCTGTACCTTTGCAGCTGGCTTTACCTTCCCTTGACTCAAACCTCAAAGCTGTTTCCTCTCATTTGCAGGGCTGGCACAGAGCCACTGACAAGTTGGCTTGAAATAAACTGACAAAAATGTTTTAACTGGAAGAATCAGGTCAGTGACCCTGTCACAACCCAGGTACGAACACAGCCCGCAGCAAACTGCCCCGTCCCCACCTGCTCAGCATCTCCAGGCCTTAATTCTTGCTAAACTGCTCCACAGAAGCTCCTGTGGGTCAGCAGCTTCCCTCAGATACTGAGGGGGTCCACTGGACAACAAAAAACTGTTCCAGAAAGGAAATTTATGCTGGTTTAATCACACCAGCTGCCCAAAGAGGAATGCTCCGTTGCAATTCCACTGCATTCCAGCTGCTCATCCCTGTCCCAGTGCATCCAAAGCCCTTCTGGGCCCACAGTGCCACTTTTCTGAGACCTCCCATGTGTTTTTTGGCCAGGCTCCATCCTCTGTCCTCCACTCAGAGATGCAAATTTCTCATCTCAAGCCAGTGGAAGATCAGGGAAAGCTGGCAGGCACTAGCCTGGCACTTTCCTTCCTTATCAGACACCAATCCATGTTTTTCAGAGCCTTCTTTACTATTTCAGCAGGCAATGCTCCATGCAGAGGAGGAAAAGGGCATCAAAACAGCAAGAAAAGGGGTCGTGTAAAGTGGGGACAAAGCTTTGCTGCAGCTGTGTGACACCTCATCACAACTGGGCTGCCCTAGATCCCCCCAAGCCAGGAATGTGCTGAGCCTCCAGCAGCAAGGGAAGCTGAACTCTACAGGGATAATTTCCTCAGAAAAGAGCTGAGCTGTAGCTCTTCAGAACTCTGAATCTCCCTGGTTCTTTTAAGGAGGTTTAAAACACTGTTGACTTTTGTCAGGTTAAGAAAATCTGAACCCAAGAGGCTGCATTTGGGGTCTTCTAAAGAAATTACCTAGCATGAAAGTGAACTCCTGAAAGGAAACAGGAAAAACCTGCTTCAGGATAAAAAGGTGTTGCTATGAGAATAAGCCCTGTCCAAACACAGCCGCTTGCAAATGAGATTTCTCTGCAAGGATTCTGAAGAAAAACGTGCACCACCTCTAATGCCAGCTGCATTTTTCCATGTTACAGCATGGGCTACAATTACAACTCCCTTTAAAATCCCACTTTTCAATGTTTCCATTCCTTCCAGGATTCCTACCTGCAACCCCCTCACTCTAAATCCACCTAAAACAGAGTCAGTGCCATTTTCAAATACAAAAAGCACAGACTTTTTTTTTTTTTTTTTAAAATCTGAAATGCAGCTATGGAAGATCTCACCTGAAAGGTGATTTTTACACCTCCTGGGGTATGAAGAACAGGAAGTTAAAGGTGCAGCCTTGGCTAAATAATTCCCTAGCAAATCATTACTACAATGAGCCTCATTTCCAGAAGTGACTCCAGCAAAGGCAGCAAGTCCAGGTTTGTGTCAGACACAGGCATGTCCTTGCAGGATTGGGCTGTGATGTTCCCGGCAGCGCTGGTACGAGCGGCACCGAACAGGAAGAGAGTGAGGGGCAAAACCAGAACAAATGGTCAAAAGAAAAAAAAAAAACAACAACAACAAAAAAAAAAGCCCAGTGCAATAGATAAACACAATCTAATCTTGTGGTTCAATGCAGCAAAACAGAAATTCTGTTATAGCTCTCCGGAGGATTCACAACATGTAATTTACAGGAATCCTGCTCAAAAAGCACAGCCCCTTCCAATCAACCAGGCTGGCCAAGAGCAAAGGGCCTGAATGGATCTGAGAAGTCTCCTGCTCTCCTGTGGGGAGGAGCTGGCACAGCCCAGCTCCCTCAGCACCTGTGGGGCAGCTTCTGGTCCCCTCTGATGGGGAACTGCCCTGTGCATCCACCCCGTGCTGCCAGGCAGCTCCTGCTGAGGCCAGAGGAGACCAGGGCAGCAGGAAAACCACAGGGACATGAATCCCCTCTCCCCCCAACAGCGGGGCTGATCCTCACTGCTCCTATCTGCCTGGAACTCACACCCCCACAGGGAGGGATCCCACCATGAAGATACCAAAATCTCTTTAGGAAGCAGGTGTGGCAAACACATTTCTCTCTCCCTCTCAGGATTTTTCATAGAGGTGCACAGAGAGAAATGAAAGAGAAAACGATTTCTATTTCTGCTCTTTGTTTTTCTCATGTGGAATGTGTTTAGAGAATTGTTTACCTAGAGTGAGTGCTTGATTGGATTCTGGTGAGGATTGTTTGAGCCTGATGGCAAATCTAAACCACCTGTGTCTAGAGAGAGGGTCACAAGTTGTGTTTGAGTTAGAGATAGTCAGGGAAAGTAGTATGTAGTTTTAGTATCCTCCTTTTATATAGTATATTAATGTATTTTAGCATAGTTATAATAAAGAAATAATTCAGCCTTCTGAATTGAGTCAGACATCATTATTTCTTCCCTTTGGGTTTGCTTGCATTTACAATAGGGAGGTTACATTAAATCCCCAGTTTAATGCCAGGCACCTGGAACACAGTTGTTAGCTCAGGATGTCAAATTCTGCTTCTTTCAGTTCTCCTTCCTCCCACCTCTGACCTAGATAAAGAACACATCCTGTGTATCCGTGCCACTCCCTGGATTCACGGAGACCAAAGAAGCCACCATGGATCAACCTCCAAATCCCAGCCCTGCCAGAGCCCCCATCCAAGTCACTCAGTGATGGCACAAGGCCACTTTATGTTGTCCAAACATTTGTCATATCCCACCTTGTGATCCAGGATGAAGGCTCATTGTAAAGGGAAAATGGAAAACAAAATTTTTCAGTACAGAACGTGACATGGCTGTTAGTGTCAGTCACTTCCAGTGACATGGCAAAGGATTTTAACATGACCCAAAACCTAACACCTGGTACAGGTAACATCTTCCTCTACATCTGTGCAAAGCTAGAGACTGCCCAGTGCTTGCTCTGTTGGGTCTGTTAAGAATTCCATTAGTGTTACAAATCCAGTCTAAACCAAAGCTGTTTCTCCCTTACTGCAGCCTCCAGGTTTAACGAAAAACCAAAGTATTTCTTTTCCATTTTTAAAAACAAAAAGCTGTTTGCTGCTGTTCCCAAGCTGCAGCAGTGTCTGAAATGCCACAAGATCAGTGTGTGATGCAAGTATTTCCCCATCAGATCATGAAATAAAGTAAACATGGAAAGCAGCAAAGAAACAGTTGAATCACGGGGTGTGCAAGAGCAGAGGGGATAAGACAAAGGAGAACAGCACTCACTGGTTTTCACTTGGGAAGGATGAGGTTGGGAAAGAGACTGGGTAGCAGCTACTCCATGAGTCGGCGGCCAGCATGGGATTCTGCAACCAGAAGAAACAACAGTTAGAGCAGCAGAGGCCTGGAACCATTACCTGGGGCTGCAGGTACGAGGGCAGGCCCACAGCTTCCCTCCCTCAGAGCTTCCCAGAGGCAGAGGTGGCTCCTTGTCTCTCGAGCAGCACTCCAGTTTCAGCTTTGGAACCCTACCACTGTCCCCAGAGGGTGACTGAGGTGAGACCCCTTCCCCAGCCCTTCCCCAGGACACTCTGAAGAGACAAGAGGAAACGGCATCAAGCTGAGCCACGAGATGTTCAGGCTGGACATCAGGAGGAATTTATTTGTGGAAAGGGTGGTCAGGCATTGGCAGGGGCTGCCCAGGGAGGTGGTGGAGTCCCCACCCCCAGAGGTGTCCAAGGAAGGACTGGATGTGGCACTCAATGCTCTGGTGTTGTGACAAGGTGGGAATCAGTCACAGATTTGAACTTGATGACCTTGAAGGTCCTTTCCAACCTCAGTGATTCCATAAGTCTATGATTCAGTCTCCGTGGGATGTCAGCACCAACCCAATAACCTGAAACTGGCCGGCAGAGGTCACAACCAAAAATGTCCTTTTGTCTTCCCACTTCCCTGAACAGACTCCAATTAATGGCAAGGTTTTAGCTCAGCTCACACCAATAAAATCAGGGAGAGAACACTCTATCTCCTTACTCAGCTCCAGCAGCTTTTATCCTGCTCTTTTTGTGCCCAAAGCAATGAAACCTTGTACTTGAAGCAAAAGGAACTTGGGCCTCGCTTAAACCTCTGTGTTCCTGCATGTGACACATTCCAGAGTTTGAAACAGAAAGAGAAAACTCTAGGAACATGTCAGCTATTTTGGGACAGGGCTTGCTTTTTGCCCTGTTGGACAAATGCATCAGGGACCTGGTCTGGTTTTAGCAGCTATATCAGGACAAATACAACTTATTTATCTCTGCCGCTCTGGAAATAGACAGCTGGATCTGGGCACAGGTTGACATGTCTGGTAGAGATGTCCTGGGGTAGGAACAAGGTCTGCAATCCTGGGCAGATTCTCTCAGTCTCTTCAGTCCTTCCACAAGGAGCTGGCAGCCAGCAGCTTGCAGAGTGGCTTTGTTTTAATCACAGCCCTGCTTTTCCCTCCTCACTTCAGTCCTGCAATGTGGCAAGCACATTTCTCTCCCTCTCAGGATTTTTCATACAGAGAGAAATGAAAGAGAAAAAAAATTTTATTTCTGCTCCTTGTTTTTCTTATGTAAAATGTGTTTAGATAATTGTTTACCTGGAGTGAGTACTTGATTAGATTTTGGTGAGGATTGTTTGAGCCTGATGGCCAATCCAATCCACCTGTGTCTAAACTCTCAGAGAGGGTCACGAGTTGTGGGAGAGTTAGAAACAGAGTCAAAGAAAGTAGTATGTAGTTTTAGTAGTTTTAGTTTTAGTAGTATGTGGTTTTTAGTATAAAAGTAGTTGTTTTATATAGTATATTAATGTATTTTAGCATAGTTATAATAAAGAAATAATTCAGCCTTCTGAATTGAGTCAAACATCATTTCTTCCCATTAGGTTCACCTGCATTTACAATACTGCAACCCCCTGCACAGCTGCACGGGAAGTCTGGAAATCGCTGCTATAAACACAGACCAGGACTCCCAGGATCTACCAGGCCACACAGCTCTGCCCAGACCCCTCCTGGGCACAGCCTCCCCCTGCCCAGGATCTGCAGGGCCTCACCTCCAGGTCTGGCACGACGAGCTGGGAGCGGAGGCCGGGGATGCCGCGGATGGCATCGCCCGGCTGCTGGTGCTGCGGGAAGCTGTTCCCCCCATCCATGGCGGGGTGAGAGCATCAGCCCGTGTCCTGCCTCATGGAGTCCTCAGGAGGGTGGGACAGGCTGTGGAGTGAGTGGTGGGAGCGTCTTCAGCTCTGCTCTTCACCCTGCACCATGTCCTGGGCTGGGAAAGAAAGGCACGTTTAGGTTTTGTGAAAGGGGGGGAAAAAAAAAACACTTGTAAGCTTAAATATAGCTTAGGGATGAGCAAACAGCCACCAGCCTGCTACTGCCTCTTCAGAAAAGAGAGGGGTTTATGGGAAACAGAGCTCTCCATTACCACCACACCTGGAATTCACCCAGGTTGGAACTGGAACACACCCCTCCTGCCTTGCACACTGCAGGAGCCCCGCAGCTCCCTGAGATCATCTGGGCTGCTGTACACACAGCTCGGCTCAGCCTGAGGAATTTGCTTATCTAATGTACAAGAAGTCTCTGCACTCGTGTGAAAAGTCATGGTAATCACTTCCCCCAAATTCCCTGTTTCCCTGAAAATATGCTCTGAGCCAGCAGTGAACCCTCATCTCCCACCCCATGGCACACTGGGGTCTCTCCAGCTCTTGGTAGCTGTTTCTGTGCACAAAGACCTTTCCCACACCAGTCAAACCCAACAATACCTTGTTACTCATTTGAAATTAATAGTACTAATGCCACAAATTCCTGAATTTATCAGCTTCTGGCACTTTCTCTTTTGCCAGCAAAAGGGGATCCAATGCAGGAGCACTGTCCTGGCAGGATTAACCCCACAGTAACAACCTGCCTCCAGTACAGCTTCTCAGTCAAAACCTCCAAACTGATTAATTTTCTTCTAACTTCTCCATAAGCCCACAGGAAACCAATTTCCAACTGGATTTAATGGATTAAAATAAAAAAGAGATGGTGAAAGCAACGTATACAGCCAGAGGAGCAGAGAAAAGCATCTGTGATGTCTTCACTTCCACTCAATCTTTCTTTGCTTCTTCCTGCCTGCCCTGACCCTCCCCAGAAGCTGAGTAAATCAAAGTGGCCAAAACCTCTGGATGGAGCAATCCAGCCACAAACAACACCTACAGAGCACAGACCAAAGCTGTAATTTAAAAGAGCCACCTCTGATCATTCAGGAGACACTATTTTGCTACAAGGACTATTTTTGAAAGGCCATTTCTGACTCTGAGGCCCTTTAAAAATAAGTGACCTTGCGGTGGACAAAATGACTGCACCATTTGCAATGGAAAGTGAAATTAAAGTGACTCTTTCTGCCTTCCCGTGGTGCCACAGCTGTGCCAGCTGGGTAGGGCTCATGTGGGGGCTGCAGGGACCAGCCAAGACCCCACAGCCAGGACCCCAATCCTATGGTGGAGTCACAGGCAAAGCCCTCAAGTGCCAAGGATATTCTGTGTGAAAAGCAGAGTTCAACAGTCACATCCCACCTACGGAATGCTGTGTAGAGCTCCCAAAGGGATTATTTGGTTTTTTTGGTTTTTTTGTAGGGAGGAGGTCACCCTTTTCTATTTTGCAAAGATTCCCTTCAACTCCTGCTCAGCTTTACCCAAGCCAGGGGCTGAGGTTTGCTGATCTCAGGGTCAATGTCACCAATTGCTCTGTGTCTCTAAAACCCTGTGATTCTTCCTTACACCAGACTTCAGGGGTTTTGCTGCTTTTCTTTTTTTTTTTTTTCCTCTCCCCTACTTGCAACAGCTTTTGAGAGGAAATCAGCAGCAGTGATTCCCGTAAGAGCCATAGCAAATATACAGCTTTACTTACATATCCAAAGGAACTTAGGAAGGGTAAAATCAATATCAGTATCCCTCCGTGCCTGCTCTGCATGAGCTCATTTCTCACACCACCAGATCTCACTGGTGGACCCTGCAGAGCAGCACCAGTTCCCTAGAAAAACTGTACAACAGATGACACCCCACTGGCAAAACAAGGAAAACTGCTTAGTAAGAAAGCTGGAATGCTCTGGGCCTTGGTTTAGGGGAGGGCTGTAGTGCAAGTGCAAAATACACCCAAGCATTGAAAACAGAGGAAAAAGAGAGACCAAGAATTTACTCTATCATTCCAGCCACACTTCAGTCCTGGAGGATGCTGAGGGAACTCCTTACCCCAGGAGAGCAGCACCAGCATTAATGGACAGCCCAAAATCCAACCTGCACATGCCAAATCTTTGTGCTGCAAAATGAACTCCTGGTGATGAACATAGAGGCTGACCCAGCTCTTACTCTGAGCTCATGCTCCAGTGCCAGGGGCTGCTGGGGCTGCTGTCCACTTTACACTCACAAATTCCAAGAAAAAAAATAAATAAAACACTAAATCCAGAGTCAGAGACCTGCATGAGCCTGAGGACAGCAGGACAACACCCGGCACGAGAACAGAGAAGTGGGAACAGCCCTTGGTTTGTGCCTATCCTTCCATCCTCCAGGCAGCCACATCACCAAAAACCATAAAAATCAGCAAGTTCCAAAGTGCTTCCACTTCCACATCCCATCCTGCTGCTGTGACAGCAAACACTGATAACATAGAGGCCCACACATGTGAGGGAACCGCTTTAGCAAACTTTTAAAGTGTTTTTCCATCACTCCTCTTACCAAACATACTCCGACCACGCAGCAGCTTCCACTGTTACGGCAAATCCCCAGAGAGGAGGCTCCCGGTCCCAGCACTGGTGTTGGGAGAGGAAAGCCCAGCCCTGAGCAGCAGCAGCAGCACACAGAGACAGCTCTCAACTTCACTCACGTTTCCTTGCAGCAACGCTGTGGAAGAGCAGCGATCCCCCAGATCCAGAGTGGGGCACGACCCTAAAAATCCCACTGGACATTTTCCTTCCCGGCCAGGCAGCCCAGGTTTGAAAGTGAAAGCAGCTCCCTGCACAGGATGACGAAGCCCCTGAGTGATTTCATCCTATCACTGAGCTCCAGAACAGTTTCAATATTCCAAACAGTTTGCTTAAAGGTTTGCTGTCAGCACGGGGACTAAGGGGCAGATCCAGCCTGGAATTCCTCTGGAATTCATCATGTCTAGAGGTTACAGAGCACAACTTTCAGCTTCTAACAGCATGAGCTTTTTAGGCATTTCTCAGACCAGCGCTCCAGCAGGAAAATTCCAGTTGGGAACACACAAAGAACTGCTGTGCTGTAACCAGGATGGACAGAGCCAGGAGTAAGGGCTTGGATCACTGATAACTGCGATCAGGAGAGGTGAAAACAACCCAGTAAATGCAGCCAGCACTTCCTCCTGTCGTGTTCCACCCTTTGTTGGTGTATTTTAAATTGCCTCCGTTAAAGGAACACAGCCAGAAACCCAGACACATGCCTGGAGCAGCGCGAGCTAAACCTGCCGATCATGAATTACCACGTGCTGGGAACAACAAAAACACCTTGGGAATGTGATCCTGTTCTTCCTCCTGCTCAGGGTTCAGCTCCCCTCACTCTGCCCACCCCTACAGAGCAGAGGTGGAGCCCCAAAATGTCCCCACCTTGCTCCACTCACTCATGAGCACCCACCAAAGCTGCAGCCGGAGGGAATTCTGCGGGATACAGTCTGGATGTAACTGCCCCAAAGAAATGGGAAGTCAACCCTACGGAACTCTGAACAGCCAGTTTTACTTCTCAAGCACCCAGGCACCTTCAAGTTCCTCTTTCATGCTTCTCCTTGATGTATTTTTGGGAAGTTCAGACCAAACAAGTAGATGGGAATAGGACTCAGTCCCGTCACCAACACAAAGGAGAACACCAGAGCGGAAAACGCGTATTATGGGTGACAAAAATGGAATCATTTCAGGGCATCCTAAGCCAGCACTCGGAGCCACCCTGATCTCCTGAATGCTTTGAGCATGGAAAAGGCTCCTGGGACACAAGGATTGCAGCCCTGGAGCTGGGCACAGCACTGCCAGGCTCCAGGGCAAATCCCGGCATCGCCTGGGCACCACAAGTCAACAGGGAGCTGCAGCGTGGAACAATCCGTGCCACCAATTAACTGTGGGAATTAGTCTGTAAGGAAAGGGGAGAAAAATCTGGATCATTCCAGAGATTCTTGCAAGCGCCGTGGCAGTGCAGGCAAAAGAACAAACCTGCCCTCCAAGGACAGCAGTTTCTACAGGGAAGAGCTTGATGCTTCGAGCAGTACTTGTTGCTCTTTGTCTGACACTCAGACCATACAGGAAAAAACAATCAAATACAGTTTTTTGGAGGGAAAAGTACCCTTTAGGAGAAAATATTAACTGCCCCCCAGAGATAAATTCCACCTATCCCTGCTTTTCCACCTGGGAGAACACATAGAACTATTTCTAGACAGGGCAAAAATGCCTCCCAGACACCACCCACGCTCTGCCAAGGAACTCGGCACATTCCTGTGTAAATCCATCCAGCATCACCCTCACACATCCAGCACCAACATTCCCAAACCACAAACACATCCCTGCAAGGCAGAGCTAGGGCTGAAGCAGTGGCTCAGACACCGGGTCCATGGAATATTCCCAAAACCAGGGCTTTGGGCACTCCCCAGCACAAGGCAGAGCCTGAGCAGGGCTCTCGGAGCACTGGGGCTGCTCCTCTTCCACAAAAAACTTGGCTAAGCAAGGTCAGAAGCCAAGAAAATGCAGGTCCCAGATTCCTTACACTTTTTCCCCAGTTTCTCTCCCAAGAGACACTTGGGAGAAACCCTCTGGACCTGAGCAGGTCCCAACGTTCTGTTTCACACACAGCCACTCGTGGTAGAAAAACCACTTCAGGACATCAAAGCCAACTTCCCTACGGATTAGGGCAGCCTTAAGGCAGACTCAACGTGCACCTGCTCCGTGAGAGGCATGTGTTCACTTTGATCACACCCACACTTGTGCAGACCTCGATTGTGTAACCAAAAAAGACATCAGAGTTTTAAGTTTTAAGCAGAAAAGTGTTTCAGGAGAGTATAAACCTCCCAATTAGGCCTGGAAGGCTTTCCTGAAGGATCCAGACTCTCATGGTGACAAGTCCCAGCGCAGTTTGCTCCTGTGCAGAAACCTCCCAGCAACATTCGAATGAGACGGGTACAGGCTTATTTTAGGAAAATGAGGGTGCAAACATCCAAAAAACAGACCCTCATCAAGTAAAGAGCTTTTGGCAGAGATAGCAGAGCTCAGGCTTCCAAAAGCTCCAGCTGGCAGCTTATGGAGCTCTGCAAAACCTGCATGGGACACACAGCACTCCCAACCCCACAACAACAGTATTAGCACACCATTTTCCACTTGAACATTCCCACCACCAGCTGCTCTTGGTTCAGCCATTCCCGCACGGCTCAGGACAAGCTCAACTCTTGGATGACACGAGGATGATGTGCAGCAGGAACAGCCCCAGCGAGGCGCAGCCGACCACAGCCAACACCCTCCTGCCCTCCAGACTCACCCCAGGGCCAGTGCACAGACCAGAAAACCCTCCAGGGGTTTGGATCCCAGCTTTGGGATGCCAGTGCTGAACCTGCAGGACCTGCCCTGCCCAGCCCATCTCATTTCCACTGTAAATCAAGCCTGCTAAGGGGGAGCCACACTCTTTACACTGGAATTTATGGTTACTCTGAGGAGTTTTAGACCTGGCACTAGTATTTAATAAGGTGAAGCCTCTGGTATCAGCCCAGTTAATGGTCTGACAGCACTGGTTCCAGAATGCAGAGACTCTGAATACGGCCAGTACGGGCTGCACCACAGCAGAACCTCGGTGCATGATGGATTCATGGCTCCACACTGACAGAGAGGAAGTTTGGATCAGATATTAGGAAATCCTTCCCTGTGAGGAGGATGCTGAGGCTCTGATTGCTCACAGAAGCTGTGGCTGCCCCATCCCTGGAAGTTGGAACCCTGGAACCCAAGGCCAGGCTTGGAGCACCCTGGCATAGTGGAAAGTGTCCCTGACCATGGCAGGGGATGGAACTGAACGAGCTTTGAGGTCCTTCCAACCCAGACCACTCCAGGATTCTGTGATCGCTGTGCAGTTTTCACAGCGCTCCGTGAAAAAGCAGCTGAAGAGGGAGTCAGAAACACGAGGGTTCCGTGGCTGTGGCCACCCGGGCTGTACCGGGACAATTCCCCATCCGGACAGGGCTGGAGGGGTCCGGGCTTTGCTGCGATCGCAGCTCCAGAGGCTCCGCAGCACCTCCGGCTCTCTCCGGTGCCGGCACAGCCCCGGGCCCCGCTCCACACGCGGCACGGACACGCGTGGGGGACACGGCTGGCGGCAGCGGGGCCGGCCCCGCCGTCCCCACAGGCTGCTCCGGGCCCGGCCCGAGCCCCGCAGCCCCCGCACTCCCCGCGGCACCGACCGACGGACCCGGGACGGGCCCGGCCGGGGGCCACGTCCCCAGCGAACCCCCCAGCCCGGCCCCCGCCCGCGGAGAGACCGGGCCGGCGGCGGGAAGGCGCGGGCCCCGGGGGCAGCGAGCGGGCGGCCCTTACCTGTGTCCGGGGGTGGCGGGCTGCCGGGGTCCCGGGCGCTCCGCGGCTCAGGCTCCCGCCCGGCCGCCGCCGCCGGGCGCCGCTTCCGGGTCCGCCATGCTGGGAGGGCCGCGGAGCTTCCGGGGAAAGGGAGGCGGCGACCGAGCGGGAGCCGGGGAGAACCGGGAGCGGGGGAGTGGGGACGGGGTACCGGGAGCGGGGGAGTGGGGACGGGGTACCGGGAGCGGGGGAGTGGGGACGGGGAGAACCGGGAGCGGAGGAGCGGGGATGGGGTACCGGGAGCGGGGGAACCGGGAGCGGGGCAGTGGGGAACCCCGGGGCAGTGGGGAATGGGAGAACCGGGAACGGACAGCGGGGAACGGGGGAGTGGGGATGGGGGAACCGGGAACGGGGGAACCGGGAACGGGGCAGTGGGAAACCCCGGGGCAGTGGGGAACGGGAGAACCGGGAACGGACAGCGGGGAACGGGAGAACCGGGAACGGGGGAGTGGGGAAGGGGGAACCGGGAGCGGGGGAGTGGGCAACGGGAGAACCGGGAACGGGGGAGTGGGGAAACGGGAGAACCGGGCCCGGGGCAGTGGGGAACGGGAGAACCGGGAGCGGGCAGTGGGGACGGGAGAACCGGGAGTGGGGGAGTGGGGATGGGGGAACCGGGAGCGGGGGAGTGGGGACGAGAGAACCGGAGTGGGCAGCGGGAATGGGAGAACCGGGCCCAGGGGGGTGGGGAACGGGAGAACCGGGCCCGGGGCAGTGGGGAACGGGAATGGGAGAACCGGGAATGGGGGAGTAGGAACAGGAGAATCGGGAGTAGGCAGCGGGGAACGGAAGAACGGGGAGTTGGGTAGCAGGGAACGGGAAAATGGGCCCGGGGGCAGTGGGGAACGGGAGAACCGGGAGCGGGGGAGTGGGAACGGGAGAACTGGGAGTGGGCAGCAGGGAACGGGAGAACCGGGAACGGGAGAACCGGGAGTGAGTGGATAGCAGGGAACGGGAGAACCGGGCCCAGGGGCAGCGGGAACAGGAGAACCGGGCCAGGGTGGCCCTGAGTGATGAACAGACAGCGAGGCCCGTGCCTCCGGAGACCGGCAAAGGCCCGGGGCAGAAGGAACCCACGGGGCAGAGGGAGCCCCCGGGGCAGAAGGAATTAAATGAATCACAGGGCTGGAGAACTACCTGCTCTGACCATCCCAGGCTCCTCACCCGTTTTCCCCACACTGGGCCTTTTAATATTTTTAATTTCCCATTGCTTGCATTGAATTCATGCCACCTTTGGAGTCCCAAGGTAGGAACAAAATCCTGAGGGGTCACACAGAAGCCTCCTGGATGGGTCTGTTTTTACACCAGCACAGGAGCAGCCAGAGGGAACTGATTTATCCCCAGGATAGGAAGTACTGGCAGATGGGAACCACATTAACACCGGGTCCTTGGGAATGCTGGGTGTGTGCCAGAAGCAAAGGGGGAACCAGGAAGTTCTGTGCCGGTCCGCTTCTCCCATTCTTTATTCATTTGCATATAGTGATTAATCAAGGCAATCCTGCCACATTTTCCAACATCCTTCTTACAGGGATCTTTCTTCTAAATCCTCCCCCCCAGCTCTTTATTTGGTGTTCCACAAATACAAATAAATACGCACAGTGGGAGAACACACAGGGATGTATCCAGCACCAAATCAGCCTCCTCCTAGAACCACCAAATCAGGACTTCCCTTACCAGGATCTCCTTCTCCTCCCACCACAGCCGAGACCCCAATTCACACAGAAACCCCAAGACAGGCAATGAAGCAGAAGTGATGCTGAGCTGGGAGCACTGAGGCTGTCCTGTGCCTGCCCTGGTGGAAGATGTGGGGACATGGCTGAGTTGTGTCCTGGTCTGTTTGCCCCTTTACAGGAGCAATGTCCCTGGAAAAAAGCCTGGCTTCTCCAGGAACAGCCCTTCCCAGGCAGCTGGTCCCTGTCAGACACCCAGTCTCAGGAAATGGGGACAAAGATGGGCGTTTTTGGGCGCTGATCCCATGGGCTCAGCTGCAGAGCAGCTCCACATTGGGGTGTGCCGGGCTGCTGTCACCCACTGCCACTTCCTGTTTCTTCCCAGAGCCTGGAAATCCCCTGACTTTCCGTGGGGTGAGGGCTGTGGAGCCATGCTGCCAGCTGGCCCTGTGCCCCCAGAGCTGTAGGAAGAGGCAGCCAGGGGACAGACCCTGCCCTGTGCAGGGTCCTGGCAGTGCGGGGCTGGCACTGTGCAGGGGGCATGGATGGGACCTGGCAGGAACCGTGCTGGGGTGCCAGGGTCCCACAAAACCATTCCATGTCTGAATAAACCCTTCTGTGCCCCCTTGGCCGGGTTGTGGGGCTGTGGAGGGTGAGGGGACAGCTCCTGCAGTGCCCCATGTGCCACGAGCTTGGCAGGTGTCAGCCAGTTCCCCCAGCTTGTGACCTCCTCACTGGATGCTGGTGCAAATATTTGGGAAAACCCAAGAGCCTCTGGCTTTGCCTGATGCATCCACAGCCCCAATGTGGGACAGGCTGAGGGGTTTGGGGGTACCTGGGGACACCCCATGTGAGTTCTTGGCTTGCCCCGCTCCAGTGGCCCATTCCTGCAGAGTCGAGCAGGATTTTACCTTTGGAGGGGGATCGTTCTGCCACCCTGGTGGGAGAGGGAGCAGAACAGGCAGTGGGATGGGCAGGGAGCAGCATGTGGAGTGCCAGGAGCTCCTCCAGCCGATTCTGCCCTCCCACTGCTGGGAACACCTCGGGAAGGGGATGCACAGCACTTACCAGAATTTCGGGGATGGGTTCCAGAACTTTGGACTCGGCGCCAAGCCTGGAGTAAATAAATCACCCAGGGCCAGGGGCTGTGGTGACAGAAGCCGTTGAGGGAGGAGGGAAAGGCGGTGCTAGCGGGATTGGAGAGCTCGGCAGAGCAGCCCCCTCCTCTACACTCCCTCTTCGGAGCCCTTGGAACCTCCTCCCGAACCTTCACAGGCTCAAATTCCTTGAACAAACCAAATTCCTTGAACAAACTGGAGCGTCGCAGTGCTTTGACCCTTTGGGGACCCAGGGGGCCCTGATCCTGCCCAGGCCCCCCCAAAACGGGCTCAGGGCTCTCCCACCTGTGCTTTGGAATTCATGCAGAGCTAATGGCTCTCATGGAAAGGAAGAATTCAGGCATTTGTCCTGCCCTGCCTCAAATTAACTGGTCAGCTCTGGGAGCTGGTGCTCCACATTGCAATCCCAGCTGAATCCCTTTCGCCAAAGGATTTCACAGCGGGGCTGGAGGCGGCCGCAGGGGCATCGCGGTTCCTCTGAGCTGGCACTGCACAAACCCCATCTACCGGCACCGGTTACCGACGTTCCCGGCGGGAGCAGGCACGGCAGAGGCCGGAGCTGTCCTACCGCAACTCCCCGAGCAGGACAGGGGACTCCGGTATCCGGTGAAACCGGGAGGAGACCCCTGAACGCCGCTGCGGGGGGAGCAGCGTTGTGCAGCCCGATCCTTCCGAGCCCCCGGAGGGTGCCCGCAGGAGAAGCGTCTCTGCGGCGGCCGGGGCCGTGAAGGGGTGGCGGCCCCGGGAGAAGCCCATTCCCCCGGGCCGTGCCGGGGTCTGCCCGGGGCGCTGGAGCCGGGCGCCGTTATTTTGGGGATGCCCTCGCAGCTGCTTGGCTGGACTTGAGCACAGCTGGGCAGGACGGGACGAGGTGCAGCCGGCACCGAGCGGACACCGGGGGGGAGCGGGGCCACCCCAAACCCGAAGCGGCAGCGGAGCGACCCGGGCGCGGCAGGCGGACCGCGAGGGCGGCGGGGCAGGGCCGGTGCCCGCCGGGGCAGAGCCGGTGCCCGCCGGGGCAAGGCCGGTCCCCGCCGGGGCAAGGCCGGAGCCCGCCGGGGCAAGGCCGGTCCCCGCCGGGGCAGGGCCGGCTCCGTGCCCGGTCCCGTCTCCATGACTCCCGCCTGCCCTTTGCCCTCCGCCCTTCACGTCCCACCGCCCCGCCTCCGAGAGGTGATTGACAGCGCTCGCAGCCTATCATATCGCGCCGCAGGACGCAAGCCCCGCCCTCAGTCGCGACGGATATTTCCAATGGCCTATCACATATGAAGTTCACGTGAAGCCCCGCCTCTAACAGTGACGGACAGCCCGGCTAACCTATCATATCGCCCCGCCGCCGGCCGGAGTGGGTGGGAGGGTTGCTTGTAACGAACCAACCGGAACCCGACGTGGTGCGGCCGCAACCAATCAGCGCTCGAGCGCTCGGGGACGGGGCCGACAGCGTGGCCAATGGGGGCGCGCGCCGGGGCGGCGCGAGGCGCGGAGCGGGGCGGGGGGGGGGGGGGGGGGGGGGGGGGGGGGGGGGGGGGGGGGGGGGGGGGGGGGGGGGGGGGGGACAAGATGGCGGCGGCGGCGGCGGCGGCGCGCGCGCGGCGGGGCGGGCGGTAACGGGGCAGCGCGGCCGGGACGGGGAACGGGACCGCGGCAGCGCCAGGGGGCAGCGGCCGACGGGCGGCCCCTGAACTTGGTGGGGGACACGGGAGGCGGCGGCTCGGCGGGGCGGAGCGCGGCGCCGGGGCCCGGCCCGGCTCCCCCGCCTGGCGACGGGGAGGGGGGACTCGGCCCTCAGCCCCCCTCCCCTAGTTCACCGTTTGGACCGGCGGGAGCAGCCGGAGCTGCCTGCGGGGAAGGACCCGGCCCGGGCTGGGAAGGGCCCGGAGGTCACCGACCCTCCCCCGGGAGTCCGCCCCGTCCCGGCGCTGATTTTGTGGCGCTGAAAGTGCCCCGTCCCCTGTCCCCCCTCTCTGCTCCCCCGCCGTGCCCTGCCAGCCGCGGTGACACCTGTGGGAAGTGCGGGAGGGACCGTCCGGGCCGGGTGGGCATCCCTGAGCCCCGTCCGTGAGCGGCCGGTCACCGGGCGGCCGGTGCCCCCGGGAGGAACCGGGAGTTGGGGCAGAGGGTCCCCCTGACCCCCCCCCGGGGTCGGCGGGGCCGGGCTGGGTTGTGTCGTCCTGCACCGCTGACACCCGGAGCAGAGGCGGTGACACATCATGTGCCAGGCGGAATCCCGGTGGATGAAGGATGCCCCCGGGAGCTCTCGGTAGGCACCGAAGGCCTCAAACTTTTGTAGGCGACAGCGAAGACGCAAGAATTGTTTCGGAAAACTCCTTCGAGGAAACTTGGTTCCAGCTCCCCAACGGCTGAACCCCCCGCACCCCGCCCGGGCCGTGGGAGCACACCTGCCCACCCCAGCTGGGAATCATGAGCTCCTAGGGATGGAAAGTCACGAGAGGGACTGGGAGCTGCTCTGGTTCCACGGGGTGGCCTGACGGCCTGGAGATGACCTAACTCTTTAGGATCAAACTGGGCCCAGTCAAGGCCAGTTGACTGGGAAGAGCCCCCGGCAGCGGGACCGGGTCGGAAGCAACGTGAGTCCCAAACTGAGTGTGTCCCGTCACAGATTTATGTTCTTTTTCAAAGACGTTCTGGAGCCAGGCCGGGATCTTTTGGCATCCAACTGACCTGGAAGCAGCTCTTAGGTTTGGTTGTTTTTTTTTTTTGCCTTCTTTTTTTTGGTTGGTTGTTTTTTTTTTTAATTATTATTCATGTTTGTACAATCTTCTGGATATTTTTTTCCCGAGAAGGAGTAAAAAGGGAGTGTTGGAAACTTAACAAACAGGATTAAAGCCCTGAGCGCTTAAGGAAAAAAACAGGTTAAGGAACTTAATCCAGGATGGATCTGCAGGAGCCCCAGCAGCTGGGAATGTTTGCGGAGAGTGAGCTGATGTCGGTGGGGATGGACACGTTCATCCACCGCATCGACTCCACCGAGGTCATTTACCAGCCCCGGCGCAAACGGGCCAAGCTCATCGGCAAGTACCTCATGGGAGACCTGCTGGGAGAGGGCTCCTATGGCAAAGTCAAGGAGATGCTGGACTCAGAGACCCTGTGCAGGAGAGCTGTGAAGATCCTGAAGAAGAAGAAGCTGCGCCGGATCCCCAACGGGGAGGCCAACGTGAAAAAGTGAGTAAAGAGTTCTGGGAGCCGACGGGGTGAACTTGGTCCTTGCTTACCAGCTGAGCTCCTGTGTTGTTTTAGCTGACAGCATGGCTCTGCTGTGGAAATGCTTCCTAATCCACAGGTATTTAGGGATCTCTTCCCTCTGAACAGCAGCCAATGCTCTGGGTAAGGCTGGGCACAGGGAAGGGACAGGTTCCCAAGGTCTGGGACAGTCTGGAATACACCACTTTGGTGTCATTTAATGGATAAAATATTGATTCTTAAAGCAATTCCTCTGTGTCCTCTCACCTTTCCCAGCCAGCTGCACCTGGGCAAGGTGAGACCTTACAAACACACTTGGTGTCCTCACAGGGTTATTCCTGTATCTGCCAAGGTGTGTTCCAAAGGCCCTGGAGATCTCTGTGGTGACAATTCCTCCTCCCACCCATGTGGAAGGTGGCTGGAACAGGATCCAATATATGGGGCACCCCATGGGCACAGGAAGTTTTGGGTTTTTTCCTTGGCTTCATTTCTAAGATCCTTGGGAGTTTACTCAAGGCTCTCCCCAGCTGATTTCTGTGGCTGTAAAATGGGGCCAAGGGTTGTCAGCTCTCTGTGCCTCCACCACACCTGGTTACTCAGGGCACAAAACCCTCATGGAAGTGAACCCCAGGAGAAGCCAGATG